TTAATTGCTCTAATAAAATACCGTGACTTTTTTTTAGAGAAAAAGTCATTTTTCCACATTCTTTTCGCAAACATCTTTCATGCATTTATTGAATTGATTGAAAATTAATTTTTCATATATGTTAATGTAAAATAAAGTTTGAATCCATATATTTAAATTTCCAAAAATAAACACGTATTGTGTATAGTTAATTGCTTTAATGAAATACTATGACTTTTTTTTTTACATTTACAGAAAAGTGACAGAAATTCACTTGTTCACATTCACTTTTTCTCAAACACTTTGCATACTTCAATTTAATTGATTGAAAGTTTTATTTTTCATATGTTTTAACACAATCCATTCCCTCTCAAAATCAACAATGTTATTTCCAAATATTTTTTCAGTTACAATAGCAAAATCATCAAAAAAGAAACTTCATAAATTCCAATTATTTACATTCTATTATTCAAACTAAATTAATCATGAAATTCAAAGAAAAATGACATGGACAATGCAATAAGATGATTAGAATTTGTAAGTGGGAGTTTATTCAACTCGAAATTGATAATTACAGCCATTGTTTTCGAAATCTATGTAAATAGAGCATTAAACAATCTTAAATTTACAGAATTAGTGAACTAATTAAAGAAAAATCCAAAATATCAAAAACCTGTAATTTTTGTTTGGATATTTTTAGATTTGGAAAAGAGAACTTTGAAGAATGGTAGTTGAAGCAACCTTGATCTTGTTTGTGCTTGATTTGTAGTAGATTTCTTCTTTTTCTTTTGATTTTCCTTTGAATTTTTGAGATTCGTGGGTTGATTTTAGACAAGCTGTCGTGCATTATATTTGAGTGTAAAATATACGTTCAATTTTAACTATTTTTCCTTTAATCAAAGTGTATCATGTTTTTTCAAAGTTACTCCAAAATATAGGGTATTTGTGTAAATACCCCAACAATCAAAGGATCCAGAATCAAAACCCAACAGTCATAATAATGCCACTTGTCGTAATCTCAGAGGGTGGCTCCATTAACCAAATGAAAACACGATTTCGGTAGCACCTCTAACTAATTTCCATCACGATCCAAAAATAGTTGAAATGATAATAAAAAGTCCTCGTTTAGGAGTTTAACCAAATTTCGGTGTATCCGCCTAATAATGCTTAAGCCTTAAAGTTATACTACTCAACTCTTGTTGATAAACATCACTGTATTGTCCTTTTAACTTTCAACTTGAAATTGAAAAACTTTTGTGTGAATTGTTAGTCAATCTTAAGCTAAGAAAAAAATTCATGTCTTTTATTTTATTATGATACTCACCTATCGACTCATCTTATTTAAAAATTGATGTGGTTAATAAAAAAATCTGTTTATTTAATTATTTATATAAACCCTAAACCTCGTAGAAATCATCATGAAAACCTTGTAAGCATTGTGTTGGAAAATATGGGTCGTGAACATGGGCAGACGGAGTTGGGGGCTGGACTGGGCTAAAGTCAAATTCAAATTGGTTTCTAAAAGGGAAAAAAATTATAAATCAGGCTTTAAGTTTCAAAAATACAAAAATCAGATATTTATTTATAAATTAAAAATATTTTTATTAATTAAATATAATAATATATAATTAATAGTCATAGATACATATTTATGAGTCACAACTTTTATTGGTTACATATTATCAAATTAATTGATCACAAATTATTTCGATATCACAAATCAAAAATTTTATAGGTCATAGTTTATTTCGTTGGTCACATATCAAAAAATTTATATGTTACAATTCATCTATCGGCCACATATTTTCAAATTTTTGGTCACAGATTATCAAATTTCAATATCACGGTTTAACGGTTAGTCACAGAGAACCAAATAGTTGGTCACATACACCAAAAAACCAATCTCCGATCCCGATCCACCACCGATACTTGGTCACAAAACAACCAAATAGTTGTCACAAACACTCTTCATCCAGTCGCCTCTGCCACAACTACCACCAACACCAATAACAACACAACACCACGACTACAACATCGCCACCTCACCACCACCATCAAACCAGATTTGAACCTACCAACCCACCACATCTACTCCACAACTGGTCAAACACCACACACCAGCAGTGCTGCCACCACGTCTCCAATACTACAGCACCCATAGCACACCCACAACCACCGCATCCAACCACACACTATCACCACCACCACCAACCAGATCTGAATCCACTACAATCAACATCAACACCACCACACCCACCACCGCACACACACCAACCACCCGTCGCGACGCTGTCGTGTTCACAGTGTCGCGACGCTGCCATTTATAGGGAGAAAGACGGGGGAGAGAGGAGGAGAAGGGAGGAATGGAGGAATTAATAAAATTATGGTTAATAATATTATGTTTAATATTAATTAAAATATAAAATTATTACTTGACTTTTGAATAATTAAGCTTTAAACCTGATTTTTGAAAATCATTCTTTAAACACCTGATTTTTTGTAATTTCCTCTTTTTAAAATTTGGAAAACTTAGCCCAAATTCTTGGTAAAAATAAAAAAGAATAAAAATTTAGCCCAGCCAAAAATTAATTTTAGCCTAACTAACTTTATTCTCAACCCAAACCTAATGTTCAATTAATCAAATTTAGTTTAAAACTTTACAACAATTACATATTTATTTTATTTATATTCATGATACACAAATAACTCGTTATCAAATTAGGTATTTTATTTCGCACACACATATATAACTAAGTTTAAAGAGTTCAC